TAGAGTTTCCTATTTCAAGGAAAGTAAATTATTAACAATAGAGCACAAAAAAACCCTCGTTTTCTCTACTAAATAAAACTCATCGATGTCAACATTTCTGAAATTTAAGTGAATATAACGTAATATAAATTTCTTTATTGCACTGCATTGCCGAAAAGAAGTATTACAATCTTACGTACATATTTTAAAAAAAACTATAATATGGCCTCGATTTTGCAAGAATTTGTGCTTAATATCACTATTAGCATTTAAAAAATCAGTTGTACATGAGTATTTTGCTCTGCTCATCTAAATTATGTCCAGGAACCCTTTCAGCGTAGACTTGACTGCAGATGATGAGACAGAAAAATGCTCATTGAATACAATAATTTCTTCGCCTACGCTTCCCCCTGTTCTTTTTGCTTTCCTATACACGTGCGGCTTTATCCCCTTGCCTCGTCGTCGTCGTAACGAGCGACAGGCTCTATCCCCCACCCCCAGTTTTCGTCACTGCTGACTCTGTGGAGAGGGGTTGAGCCGCCATGTCATTCTCTGGAGTTGATGATTGAGACAATGGGATTTTGAGAAATGACACGCACACGCTGGCTTAGACGACTTATAGACTTTACGTCGTCTGCTGGACACGGGGTCAAAAATACCCATCGAAATTAACAAAAACGACCAAAAACTGCAGCCTACTTTGAAACAGTCAGCTTAATATTTTTGTAAAGAAATAGGTACTTTTTATGTAGTTATCAGTTGCATTAATCTTTGTGTTGAGTTTTAGTCATTTTTTATCGACTATTATTATTATTATTATTAAGTTTTATTATACTGTTTTATATGAACAAACGATACCGCAATGATGAGTAAAACTATAAAAGGTAACTCTAGTTTACAAGACTATGATCGGTAATTTTCAATTACAGTATATTGTTCATTTGTGCACCAATCTTAATATTTCAACTTGTAAAAGCCTACTAGTATTAACTTTCAAGCGTAAAGATTTTAATCATCTCGCATAATTCCACAAAATTTAAGCTCACGGGGCAGCTTGGCAGATACTGCTTTCTTCGCCTCTATTTTTTCGTTCGTGTGCTGCATTCGTAATTGTTACCTTGACCATCCCATCAGTCTCCCCTTCCTAATAATCTACTGTCATTCCCTGACCAAAAGTTTGGATCTAATATTGTAAAAATCCTGTCCACTTCACTTCCTTCTATATGATGATGTCGCATCAGGATGTTCTTTCAGGAAAATGGCACAATAGAATCATTTGTGAAGAGATGCAGTGCAACCCTCTTTCTGTCTGTCAATCTCCACTCTCCTCCAAGTCAACATTGATTTTCATCCATACGTAGGTAGGCATCCTTATGTGAGGTACCTTGGCATTGACAGTGGTGGACAGGATTAATCCAAACTTTGTTGCTGAACCAACATACGTATAACTGCATCGGATTGAAATTCAATCAACTAAATGCTTTGTATAGAGTTTGGGACGCATTTTGCTGAGGTAAGACATTTCAACCCTCGCCACAAGGAAAAGCTCAACATATGAATGGATTGCATTGATGTCGACAAGAATTACAAGTTAACCAGTCTGATTCTGTCATCCAGTAGTTGTCCTCAAGTTATGCAACAAATTACGTAAACAACCCTGTTGCTAGCATGTCAACTCTAATTATTGCGAGTATTTAGTAGCAAGCAGGATCTGTTTTGGAAACGTTAGACGTCCTCTGTAAATTTATTCCCTAAATTGTTGTGATGAAATAGTCGTGATGAGACACCGTTTCAAAAAGTAGACAAGCTCAACTCCACTCAATGTGTAAGGAATTGGAGGTTTTTCTGCTAAATTGGTGAGCATGTTTGGATGTGGATGGATGGCTTTACTCAATTGGAACCATGTCGTCCTCTGATAGAACAAAAAAGTTTTCATTACAGAAACTTACCAGTTTTCTTGGAACTTGGCCAGCGCTGAGGATGTCGATGTAAGTTGCTAGATTGCAGGACGTTAGCGTTAAATGCAGGAAATTTAGAAATAGAATCAGTCAAGCAACCACCCTGTGCCCCGTAAGGATACAGTGAAAGTAAAAGTCGGGGCTGTAAGGTGGTGGTATCGATTTTGGTGCCAAAATTGTCCATTCATACTACAGTACGGAAAACTTTATCACATAAAAATGTTGAAGAAAGGATCACTTTCACAGTGCATAGCATAATACGACTGATAGCACGCATACATAACTATTATGATACATACACACATTTCTGTATATGGTTACATAGATGAAGAGAGTGTACGGAAGGAAGGATGAGTACACCACTTTCGCTACATCCATATTGAAACAACGTGAATAAATCCAACTTTTCTCAAAAACCTATTTGCGATGGCGTGGAATAAGGAAAAAGCCATTGAATGTCAGCTCGGTTTGGACGCTGGGTGAAAAATGACATGTCAGAAGATGGATGATGAGATGACCACAGAACATTTGATCAAATCCGATCTAATATCCCCTTTCACACTGTCTCCACATGCCACATCCAGTTCTCTGTGTTGGTCAAGACGGGACGTCTTATTACTCAACTTGCACACTTTACAAAGCAAAATGAGATTTTCCGAGATCAGTTTGACTTTCTCATGTTTCTACAATTTCTCTTTCACAATCTCTAAAACTGGACAGCTGAAGAAAAGAAAATGTATCTTTGCACACTTGTACGACAGTGAAATCGTACGTACGTACACCAAAACGGAATAGCATACTTTGGAACAATGGCTACATACATATATCCATCTGACGATATTACAGGATATTACAGATTCTTATTACTGGTGATGATGATACATGGGACGATGATGATGTGTCGTCCTTCGGGGGACGTCCTGCCCTCGACGTCAAAGAACTAATTAAGAGTCTCACATGTTTGCAACTCAATGCATGATACAAAGCCTCTTGAACGGCGAACGGCGATAAAATGAACTTTGACAAAGGATTTAACGCGAGACAAGAAAAAATATAGAGAAAGTCGTTCGTTTTGGGATGGGGCTTAGAAGAGCAGCATGACAAGCACGAGGAAAATGATAAATGTTGTTCTCTGACACAAAGAGACTTCCCAATTACTTGAGGATTAGTACGAGTGAATTCAAGAACCCTGCTGAACATGAAGAAGGGTGTTTGTTGGCCATCACACTGATCGGCTTGAATAAACTCGTCCCACTCCCCACCATGTGCATGTGGGTGTATCAACTAGCTATATTTGGGCCCCTTGAATATAGTAAATACTATGTAAATATACTCGAAACTATATATAGCTATCTCCACGGATAATGATTACAACAATTACTTTCAGTTTTTATGAAACTTATTGGATACCAGTCGGTCTAGCATAATGATTAAATTATTGATTTTGATGACTAATCTCTACACATCATTCTAGACTCGAACTTTAATTCATGCTGTAAATCAAACAAATGAATAATAATTGAAGATTGGGGGAATCCTGCCATAAAATCAAGTTTTTCGTAAGGTTACGTTAGTGCAACCAGTTAGTGCATACACCTAGCAAGATGCATGCATATTAAATTCAGGGAGGTAATAATTACTCAATCATTCAGGATGCACGTCTTCGCAAGCCGAAAACAAATATAATATGATTGATCGAAGGCCAGTTTCATTAGCCGGCAAAGGACCGCACATTTTTAATAGTGAAGAGTGAGTACATTGTTATCCAGCTCAAATTGATTTATCCCCCTTGGAACATCTCATCCTGCAAGAAGATTGGGTGGGTGGTGCTGGGATTCATTATATTATGATGATACATGTTCTCGTAAATAAGAGTTGGCTGAGCACCAGTGGGGTGGAACAGAGTCAAATAAGAGTCGTTTTTATTCCTTCGGTGAAAGGAGGAATTGCAATTAAATGTGATATTCCTGTGATTTTCGAGACGGGGAGAGTTTTCGGGTTACCATTTGCCATCCTCATCCAATCCACCCTTCATTCTTTTCTGGAAATCCCCATTTCCCGTGATTGCATTAATTTGGAAATAGCTGAACCACGACGCGATGAATGGAATATAAAACTTGGAACCCGTTAGTTAATAGATACATACGTAGTCCCTTCTTGGTTCTAGTTTGAGATATTTTCGATGATGTTGCTTGATTTATTCGAGACAGCATAAAAACAGTAATGAAGTAGCGTGTAGTTTAAGGTGGTTAATTATAGAAGAAACATTTTTCGAGTTTCAGGTCGACTAGAATCCTTAATGATTCTCCTGCTTTATTTTCAGTCTGTGAGCGAGTTTCCAAATAAATGAACAATGCGCCTTCTTTTCCGATGGAAATGCATCTTGAACAAGTATCTTCAATTATATAACCGAATACATGAATTTAATTTGTCCGAATTTGCAACAATTTGTATCCTGAAAGATCAGACTGAACCTTTTTTAAACCAATTTATGTAGAATTGTGTGCTTGAGAATTGCAGAAATACGTATGTATTTATATGTTGACATATACGTTCAGTTTTGTTTCCATTCATCAAGCCACCAATAATGAGACTTGAATAGTTCAGGAGACGAAGGCTTTATGAAATGCAACGTGTTTTTTTCGAGCATTACTTACAAAGCATTCGACACTCAAAATTATCAGACACTCGTTGGTTTGAGAAGGCAATATTTCTTAATGGAATTAACTGCAGTATGATTGATCTCGAACATGGTTCATTAAATCGTGACGGAGAAAGATGAAAGCTTTATTTGGTGGTGTCTTCCTTCTTGCACCGTGGGGAACATGACTGACTTGATGAGGATAATGCTCTCCGGTCACTCAGCCAAAGAAATAAGTAATATACAGGATTATGGATAGATGGATGACAAACTTATTTCTCAGCCATCCCCACAACACGATGGAGAAACCCTTTCTATAATTATAGGGAAGGGGCGTATTGAAAATGGCAATATATGCAGTGCTTACGTATGTACATATGTAGCTCCGATTGAATGAACACAATTGATCCACTGTCCAAATATAGACATTCACTCGCCCCGAATGCTTGAGATATTTTATTAATCCATTCTTTAGCTATATATTTCTGGACATGTTTAGTAAATTGTTTCTTTTATTAATGTTCATATTTATATTATAATTTGACAAGATGTACACATTTATTTTTTATAGCATTGACTTGAATAATATTATACTAATAATCTTAAATTTTGCAGAGCTGACCGAGTTAATTGATTCGACGAATCCTTAATTTTAATTTACTTTGTTTGAAGGTTGTTGTTTTGTGTATTTTGATGCAAATTAAACTTGTCGTATTACTATCGTCGCAACGCTTTTTATGTTTCATAAACTTAACTTTTTGTGACAGGTATGTATGTATGTAACATAAATAATACTTAATTAAATACAAATGTAGCCTACAGTGTATAATTACCCTGCATGTTATAAACTACAAACTACAAATGAAATATTCGGACCGTTGTCATATTCAATTACGTAAAAAGAATTTGTATAATTTATTTATATTATTTTTCATGTCACTCATTCATTTTCACACTTGTGCACTTAACCCATCTTTTGGAATGCTTTATACTGGATTCAGTCTGGTGGATACGTATTATATATTTGAAGCACATTTGAACATTTTTGTCGTCCGTATAATAGCAGCGCTGCAACCTAGAGCTACTTTCTTTAACCATGCACAGACTCTGTACTTTCTGTGTTGCGTCGCATTTCTAATTTATTCGTGGGACATTGTTGCAAATATATTCCAGTCAACTTGCACACACACATACATATGAGCCACATTACTTGAATTTGCACTTACAATAAATCTGCGTGTACTTACGAAGCTAGTTCATCTTTCAACACGTCCCATAATTCATTTCTTTACTCTAAATTAATCTCTTTCTCGCACACCAACTTTCCACGTGCTTTTTCAAAATGTGAGTAAAACAAGTTTTCTCAAATAGTACCTGGACACATTCTTCTTCTGGAGGATTTTAATGTTTTAGATACATGGGTTATAATTATTATATGAATAATGACAAAATAACCAGCCTTTATAATGAAACGCGGCTACTTGTAAATGTACTTATTTAGCAGAAAATCAATTACACAAACGATTAGCCAGGAATGTGTTCATTTCTCATAAATAAATCTGATGTTGGTTACATTATATAAACAAGAAGATATTCTATTTATTTAGACTTTCGCATGTACAAGAAAGGAGGAAACAGGCTCGATTGCTATGTTGACTTGACTTGACTATTAATAAACTAGCATAGCGTACTTGTTGGAGTATAATTCAAACAGAAGCAACCACAAGGGCAGTTGGTTGACTTGAGAATTGCAAATTTGGAATAAAGTTTGATTGTGTGCTAATATACTTATTTATATGTTAATTTATGTATTCTGATCTGTACCTGACCTGAATAACGCGTCCGTATTGTTTACTCTGTGGGACGTATTAATATTAAACTTTCTCTTGATCTATGATTCTCGACTGGCCGTGTACGTAGGTGGAGTGATGCTAGGCTGAAATAATCGAGGAATATATTTAGGTCATTCGAGTCATGTCGGCTTGGTATTCGAGTCCAAATAGGAATCATGTCACCTATGTAAAACTGTTGATTTCCAGTAATACACATACATATATATCAAAATCTCTCATGTAATTTTAAATGCAGAAGCGTTGTGCAAAGTCGTGTTAGTTCTAATTGACGGAGGAACTAAATGAAAAATCTTGCTGATTAGGATCGAATTAGGATCGCCTTCGTGAGAATTATCCAGTTTCAACAAGTTTTTAAATTTTTCTTATTGATAAACATATCTCCGTATCCAGCACAAACTACTACATCCTAGATAGCGTAATATTTAGTCGTTGTAATCGCTTTCAAGCGTTGCAGTGATGCTTAAAAGCAGTCATTTATAAGAAAACGACTGCATATGTGGATTTAAGTTGCGTGGTGACCCCTGGTAGTATCAATCAGAGGAATATTACAGAAGATAAGCGACGACGATCAGGGAGCAGAGTGACCGCAGAGATGATGTGGACGCTAAAATGGCAACATTATAAAATATTTGTTCAATTATGTATTACTACAATGATATTTATTCGGTAATTTCATTGTTAAAGGATCTGTGTAAAGCACTAGTCACGATGCACGAATTGTAGAAAAATATGTGGGGTTTGGGTCATTAAATGTGTTTTATTTCTAAGAAGTGTTTATTTGACGACATACCCTGGGGAATGGAAAGGCCTAAATGGGCTAATTTGGAAGTGATTTGTATATTTTATTTAACGTGTAATGACAACTTGTACACTTCTAATCCTCTCCCATCCATATATTTACTCACTCAACCAAATAGTCATTAAATCACTAAAAATTTCTTCACTGTACAAACTTGCTAGAAAGAGAGGTCAACGTTTAGAAATGGATGAGAATACAGGCGAAGAAGGTGAAACTGTGAGTTCGGTGGATGGGGGCACGGGTGTATCTCGTACAAATTTGTGTGGGAGCGAGTGAGTGTGGTTTTGGTTTTCATTGGAGGGAGAGACATGTGGCGGAAGGGAGATTCGGGTGAAAGTGTGTGAGGAGGTGAAAGGATGATTAATGAGAGGCGACTTACATAGGCTGTTACCTTCCAGCCACTCCGTGGAGTCACCGGGTGACGACGACGATTTCGATTTCGTCGATCGTTGGCGTGACTTGTCCACCGTGTTGAGAATGGATGTGTAGTCCGAATCTATCATATATCATCAAGTAAATACCACATCGGGTTTAAACTGTCCATCTATCAATCTTCCTCCCCTTTCAACACACTTCTAAATCAACATCCATTTATTAGCTCACGCCAAGGGACACACACACTAAGCTAACCTTCGATCTAGAAAAATGAAATGAAAGCAGGACAAAATGCCTCCCTCCATATTCTATTACTCGGTACACAAAGTTTCGAATTTCTTGACAAACTTTGTATACATTTTCCAATGTACGACTTTCCCTGCAGTCTTGTCTAAACTTTGAAATACAACATATACTTTAATGTGGAAGCAACAACGCAACAATTTTTTATATAAAAGTTAGAATACTCTTATTTGGAATTCTAATGTTTGATTTTTGAGACGCGTAACCCATAAAATAAACCAATGCACAGAATCCAAAGTCACCATCGAGATACGTTCATGACATGAACTTCATGTGCGTTCCTATGTTATGGGTTACATTGTGGGGAGGCTGGGTATAGAAAAAGAACAACCTCTCAGAATCGCTATTATTGCAAGACAATGGACAACCAAGCCATTGTACTACTTCTCCTGTCGTCTCACTTTGACTTGCTTTCTGTGCGAGAGGGACTTTTCGGTCTGATTTCATTGTGGGAGGATATTACACAAGAAAGGATTTGTGGTGAAATCAGATATCACAAACACGAGGAAGAAAAGTATTTTCTTACCTTTTTCACTCAATCCTACGGCTAACGAGCTCGGTTTCCTCCCAGTATCGTTCTTTTCTCTTTGATCTGTAAATCACAACGAGATCATGGTGACTTTGGAAATGATGATGGAATTGCATACCAACAAAATCGCTTGTATATACTACGAAATGCAGTGGACAAGCCAATAAGAAATATACATAGTCTCAACTTAAAAAGTGATAGTAGAGTAGATGACTATATTAGCTTAGTTTTAAGGAATTTCAAATTTATTCTTATTCCATTGAAAAGCCAGTTAAATTTCAAGTAGAAAACATGTATTAAACTTGAAAATATATTCCTCCTGTGACCATGAAAAATTGGTCACGAAAGTGAAAGCTCCATAAAAAATACGCACGAAATTAATGGACAAAGTGTATCATTCCCGGGTCAGAAATTTTTTTTTGACCCCGACAGTTATATGAGGCTTAGAACAGACTTTTTCCTCAATTTTAATCAATGTTTGGTGGTGAAGTTGTCTGCGGTTCGAAAATTCCAACGTTAAACCTAAAGTGCAAATGAAGTCAGAAATATTGATTTTAATCCAGTTTTTCACGAATTTCGCTGTAAATGCTACTGTAGACGCCTTCACAAAGGTCGGTGGGTTTTCATCCGATATGGACTAGTTGAGGGGGTGCTCCAGTTTCATCAGGACGTTTATCAAATAGATTTTTAAACTATCTTCTCTCCTTAATCAAGGAAATTGGGCTGTTTTTGCTCAATTCCGCCGATTCCCGCCAAAACCATGAATGGAGCCTGATAAGATAACATTTTGACCTTTATTTTGTAATCAGCTAACCCTTAGCATATTTGACATAAAACGTGTTAGTTTTTTTGTTGAAATATGTTTCTGTCGTAAAGAAATTATCATCGGTAAACGGGTTAGGTTTTTTGGTTTTTTCACCGTACCGTTTGGGGAGAGAGGTCGATTTTTTTACCATTGCTTAGGCTTGGGAAATCTGTAGCATGTGATGCTTTCTAATGTAAAAGACCTTCATCTTAGGGTCACTTTTCAGTGCTAATCTGATCTCTAAAGTTGAAAGGTCATTTCTATGGCCAAACTCTTCGGTGTCAGACGGAGATTTTGTGCTATTCTGGCGTTCAAAGCTTCGGACATCACTGTAGTCCTCCTTGACCTTGGACCACCGAAACCTTTATACCAAAGATAGACACTGTCTCTAGGATTAATTTAATAGTTTGGGAATCCAGATCGTAGTTGTACTTGGACTGCTACACTGCATCAAACATCGTGCATTTTTTTCTCGTGCAAAAAGTGAAAAATCATTGCCGCGCGCGTGTAGCTAAGCTTCTCTTACTTTTGACCTAGTGATGTCAAGTAAAAGCGGTCAACACCAATGATAGGCACTGAATGTATACACAAACCACAACTGACCTTTTAATTTTATGTTGACCCGTTCAAAAACTACGCTTTACTATCACTCCTTATGGCAAGACTATGTATGTAGCTTTGTGGAAAATATTTATGCGCTCAATATTAATAATAATTCCTTAAACGCCAAATAATAACACCAAAGAAGGAATCAAGAAAGTACAATGCGCGATTTATTCTATCCTATGCACGATTGAAGTAGGTGAACTGGACGAGACTGAACATGAAAACGTGATAAGAAATGAAATGTCAGATTGTCGCCCGTCGCCCAACGTATGCACAAAAATGATCCCCGTTTGGCCCAAAGTAAAGCACCCCAAAGTAAATATACAAGTATTTAATGAGAATCAAGTAGGAGGAATTGGTCATATATCCATTTCTATGATTTAACTGATCCGTAGTAATATTCAAGAAATTACAAAACTGACCGTAGAGTCCTAAAAACAACCGCAAAACACATTTCACGACTACGCATTCGGTGCAATTTTAATTTTAGTTACAAATAAACTAATGCTTTTCAAGAAATAGTACATAAGTTACTCATAGGCATCTTTATACCTTTATTTACTAAATTTAAATCAGTATCAAGTGACATTTTGTGTGTGAAATATGGTTTATTTGCATGCATTCATTCACATGCAGTGAACTTCTTCAGACAAAAAAAATGTAATTGTTAGACGTGTAGATGTTTTGCATACCTTTATGTTTTCTATGCGACATTTTTGTGGTGGTTGTTGGTATCGTTGTCGTCGCTGGAGGAGCCGATTCTGAAAATGAGAAAGTTCGTAAAAAAAAGGTCCATGGAATCTGTTTCACGCCGTAGCTTTTAAAATACGGAGGGCGGAGGAGGGTGGAAGGGGCAGGAGAGGAGAAAGTGACACGAAGGAAATTAAAGGCCCGAGCGAAGTGGGTTAGTGAGAGCAGAGAAAGGAGCGTGGAATCTGAACGGAAGGAAGCTGAGTGACATTGGTTGCTTCGTCTCCTGTCCGTCATCATGCACAGAGAGAGAAAAAGAGATGCTATTTGTTGATGTGACGTCAATACAGTTTTTTCAGCCAGGTTTTCATAAACCATGGTCAAACAATTTCCGCAACTTGGGCGGCACCACGTCACCATTCCTTTGAATGGGGGAATAGAACCAAGACATATTTAATTTCCGTCTAGAAAAGTAGTACAAGTGTGGATTTTAGAACGAAATTGCTAATGTCATTAGACGCATTTAGTGAGACGCGACCCATTTTAATGTTAAAGTAACCCAAAGATGGTAATGTGTAAGTGTTGAAAGGTGAGTTAAAAAGACCAATTAAAAACTTTGATACCAAAATTCCTCAAAATAATGAGAAAATCATCATTTGAGTTATGTAATGGGAAGGCAATTATTGATAAATGATTACACTTTAGAGAAAACTAAAAGTAGGAATGCTGGGTTAGCTAAAAAATACGATAAGTGTCTGTGCATATTAAATGTGTTGTATATTAATACAAGAAGGAATTAGTGGGGAAAGGTCGAAGGATTGGACGTATTAGTAAGCCCATTGTGAGACATTTTGAGAAAGTGTAAACTTTACGATAGAGCTTGATACTCCCATCGGTCTCGCCCCTGTAAGAAATATCAACTCTCTAGATCATCTGCCCAAGTTACTGTATCCTCGCTATTAGCACATGCAAAGTATACAATAAGTCGATCCATTGGATCCACAGTATTCATACATTTTGATGAAGTGAACTTACCTCGGATTTTTTGCAACGCATTTATACGTCCCAACTGAAACGAAGAGAAAATTAGAAAAATAAGTCAAAGGGGGTAACACGAGATTCTACTTACAGTCCTTGGGTTGCAAGTCGGAAATGGTTAGTTTCATATGGGTTTTGTAGGGTAGGCTACCGACTTGGTTAGAAGATTTATATTTTCTATTATCATGAATCATATGACCATCCTCACGTGTCCAATAATTCAGAGAGGCTGTGGTTTGATATTAAAATAAATATAAGCAACATGAAAGTTATGACCATTCCAAACTGTGAAATAAACCTGGATGAGCCTCTGTTGTACATTCCAATGTCACTGTAAACCCAACGCCCGCACCGATTAACTGCAAAACATTAATCAATTTCGTAAAGTAAAAATCGAGATTTTACGAACATATGAAGGGTATGAGGCAGATGAGTATCTCGAAATAGTGTGCATCAGGAAATGACGCCGCGTCTTTTTCACAGCTACTCACAGGAAGCCTCAACATTGATAAGGTTGAGATGAGTTAACTAGCCCTCATACTTTTGCATTGTCCTCATTTGTGGTTTAGAGTGACAACGTTTAACTCCTCAGGAAAACTAAATCTATTCCAAAGTTTACTCTACTTATTGTATTTATTTTTTACTATGGCAGAATACCCTACTACTACAGAAGAAATTGGTGCAATTATAGAATCTATTAAGTGAGTATATATACACACATACAGAGTGGTTAAAATGTCACGCAACAATGGAAAATTTTTCGATGGGAAAAATTTGTAAATTTCCATTAGTTACCGAAATTTTGTCTCTAAAATGCAACATTTTAAGAATTTTGTCATCAGTTTTGATAATAATTTATAAAAATCTCAATCCGAAATCTTGTAACTAATGGAGATTTAGGGACTTTTCCCATTGAAAAATTTTCCATTGTGGCGTGACATTTTAACCACCCTGTATATATATGATGAAGAAGAACCTTCTTTAATTAGATTCCCAATTCGTATTCGATCAAAAGATATTGAAGAAATGTTCATTGACTAATTATTCGACATTATTTTTGAAAAATGACGTTCATTTTTCATCTACTTATGAATTATTGGTGGTTTATGTACAAATAGTTTATTTTTTGAATGAAATATAACCAAGATACATATTATCACCCTTATAAGAAACGTTTTATATATGTCTTAACTGAGATATTAATTTATAAATGAACATACATACATTTTATTTATATATCATATTACATATAAGTTACATAGAATGATGATAAACGTACCTGAGCCTCGATCCATGCCATCGGGGGGACTGATAAAACATATCATAAATCAAAATCAGTCGGCTTTGGTCGTTCCTGTCTTGGTGTCGAAACAATAACTTTTCCCATGACTCTGATGAAAAAAGTATATTATTTCCACCGACATGTCAACCCAGCCAAATAAATACCTTTACTAAGTCAGCCTTCAAATAATGATCGAATTTTATATCATAAAATCCCATTCCGCCAACAACCAAAATGCGCTGACAGGCACGTAAAATTAGTTTTGTCAAACTTTGTAGAAAATATTCCTTCCTGTGCGACCTACATATTTTCCAATAGTCATGGTCCATTTTATTTATTTCCACTGTCCGATGTTGTTGAAAAAGATTTTATTGCAAATTCTCACACAATTAAAAACTTTTGACAGCAATAAGTCCAACTACGGTTGGAATGTCGAGTTTTATGTCGAACAACAATTTCAGAAAGTCTAAGAAAAGTTGTTAACGCTCAGAAGAAATCACTTTAGTGCAATTCCAATAGTGACGTAAGTTGGACGATGAGACGACGATGAGAATTCTTGTGCTGGCAACCCCATAAAGCACGATATCGCTTGTCCCTTAATTTGTTTTGGGGGAATTTCTCGACTAGTTTCACTTTCATTGATACTTTCGGATACAAATGGGAGGCAATGCGGAGTCGTGCGAGCAGCAGAGATTCGCTTTGTCGTGCTTTCCATCCCTATTTGTCCAGCTCGGAGAGAGAGAGAGAGAGAGACAGATAACTACTATTCTACCACGGCCTCATCTGCAATCTTCACATCTTTTCCTTAGTTCTTTCGGGACTCGCAGCGCCACGAAACATGAACCCAAATACATATATCCAAGCAATCAAACGACTCTTTTACCAGGCTTCCTTGTCTTTTTCCTCATCTTCTAGACGACGACGGATGCGATAAGAATTCCTTCCAAAGAAAAACTCCAAATGGCCCACTATCTTTCAATACTTCGGCACACTTCATGCCCATTTCCTCCAAAGGTATGCCTAAACGGCAATCACCCCCATACTTTCTCCAACTACAACCGTTTTGCTTTCCTCTTTGCATCGCCATCCACATATCTCGCCTGATCTGCCTTCTTTCCCAGTCGTAGGATCGCCTCCTCCTCTCGTCTCATGCCGTTGGAGGAATGCTGCCCATGAAACCAAACTCTTTTGGTGAGAAATCCTACAGTTCCATGTTTTATCGGTTTGACGTTATTTCCAATCATGTCAGGAAAACTTTCACAAAAACTCCTGTATCTGTACACACGAGTGACATGTACTGTTATTATTATTATTTCGGAACTTGTCATACTATTCTTCAAACTATTTTTTTAATCCAATGAATATATGCACTACTGTGAAACAGACAGTTGACCTACCTACATCTGTATCTATGGTATGTTGGCCAAGGACAAGTACCCCTCATTATTTATATAAAGTACTTGGCAAGTAACTGAACAGAAATGCGAGTCATTAAATCTTGCTGGTCAGTTGGTACGTGTTTCAATGAGCTCGACGATAATTAAACCAATAAGAAAAAGTCCTATTTGCTCTCAGGCAGTTACAAAGGAAGGGGTGGGAAATCAATTTCGTATAGAAAACGACAAGTCACTTGTATCTCACTCTCCCTCTCTCTCCTAACTCTTGGCACTTGTCCCAATCTCCGGATTTGATATTTGCCTCCGCTTTAGCGAAACACCTCAAACTCAATCTCACAAAGAAAATAAGGTCTAAGCTTATCCTCCTCAGTTGTTAATGTTCCGTCCATATTTCCCGTGCTTTCTCCTACTTTGAGATATGCTACTTGAAATCCGTAGTAGTTACACATATGTATTTATCACAGAGCTAACAATAATACCACAATGTGAATGCACGCATTGTACGAAAAAAGTCTCGGAATCCCAGGCGTACATCCATATCCAGCCATACATTTGTATGCCGTGTGGTGTGAATGGAGTCGTGGAAAATAAATCCAGTCTATATAAATACACGGCCAGAGACTTGGATATCCATTTCTTTTGAGGAGAGCGAGAGGAATAGAGACGTCCAATAAGGGCACTTGAACCCATCAAGTGGTCATCTGGTCACAATAGAAGTTTGGCACTGACATATGAGACCCAGGATTGGAATCTCTTTCTCCTATGCCTTTTTAAAAATATGTCCACCAGCAACCACAAATCCACTAACTGCAAACCAGCAGCCACCACGATTCTATCAGCTTCAGTGGTGGTGAAAATCGTATCAATCTCAAAATAAAGGAATCGTGGATATTTCGCCCCAATTTTTACAATGCACTCCGACCAAAAATGGGTTATTTAGTGGGACGATATATATATTTCAAACGTGATGCCGAATTACGATCCCAGGTGAAAACTTATTGAAAGAAAAAGAATTATCGGAAAAGTTAAAATTTTACATTGAATTTTATGTATACTCACTGGGTACATAAGTACGATGCAAGTGTAAATTTAATTTAAAAATATGAAATTATTTTAACCGGATTATTAACTAAATTTCAAGGTATACGAATTTCTTAACCCAAACAGACTGATCTTCCAGCTGTCTTAATGGAACTTTTGGAGAAATATAATTAGAGATACTTAATTTAAGCTATAAATAAATACGGTTGACTAATCCTTTATCGTTCCAATTTATCTAGGATTCTTCCGGCAATATGTTTATGATTCATTAAAATGAGAAATGTGAAAGCACATGGCGTATATGATTGCAAAGTTTTGAAAACATGCCCATAACTTTTATTTAAATGGCAAACCTCGGGTTGGACTTGGCCAAGTAAATGAGTCTGGCCGAGAGGCATACTTTCCTCCTTTCGAGCCAACCTAGAAATTCTCCACTCAAGGATGTACACTAAACGAACTCTTAGTAAGTAATTAAAAGAAAGTCACAAATAATTAAACAGAATCCCCACCGTCCAATTAGATTGCAGATTTGAAGAAACTTACGGCACTACAACTCTTCCTTTAATTTTGTTAAAAAGTCCCCCCGCCTTCTGCCTAATCGTGTAATAATTGTCAAATGGGTGGAATCACTGCTTTCTCTGGACAACTTTCACAACTTGGTTGTTTCTGCTGCTTGTGGGCCTCCTCCTCCACCACCACCTCACCATCATCATTCATTTCACCCTCATTCATGAAAACGGCTCACCCAAAGAAATGGAGTACCCAAAGCAGGAAGCCAAATGAAGAAGGATCAAACTGGGAGAACTCTTCCCTGCTCTACTTTTTCCTAGCGAGTATGAGAGAAAGTCCACCCAAACAAAGTTTTTGTTGATGTCACAAATGGATTTTTTCTTGGACTAACGGCTAGATTTACAGTGCATTTACATGATTAAAATTTACTTGAGCCAAGCAAATATGTCCAAGTGAAGTCGGATTTTTCATGCGAACTAGTCTAAGTGGATTATCTAACGTTGTCTGTTCGTTGACTGCTGCTGCTCTTGAAACTTAAGCGAAATCGATTCAAAAGTTACGTTAAAGCACTTTGACTAATTAGATTCAGATTGATTAGAAAGTGTGCAAAAAATTAATTAACGATTAAATACAACAACCTAATTATTTATGTATGTAGCTTTATTCGATTCATGAGTTTTATCCTTGCACCCGAAACATTATTTTTAATTATTTCACCCATTTGTCCGATTTTTAACCGATTTACCAACAACTTTTAGTTACAATTAGTTTTAGTTACAGTAAGCAATTTACTTGAAACCTTTTCCTCATGAGGAACCTGATCTTGACTTGATTAAAATAATACATGTGTACGTAGACCATGCCAGTAGTCTCAAGTCTGAAAAGTAAAGGAATCCGAAAGTGATTCATTGTTTCGTAGACTATGTAATCCTGCAAAATGTATTTGATTTCCAAAGAACGCCAGTTTCGTCTCAACCTGAGTACCTGGTTTATTAGTTCAACAACTGTAACTCTAGTTTATGACTCGTAAACTCAAATTGTACACACATAAATACATGTAGTAAAACCCGTCGGATAAAATGCGTATGTCACAACAGAGAGAACACGCAGGGACTTATTTCATTCTGCGTCTAAGCGAAATCTAAATCTCTTATCAAAATAGAATGAAATATGTATATTCGTATTTACAGAGTCGAAAATCACCAAATATTATCCGGTGATAAAAATTAATTAACTTCTACGTCAAGTTCGACAACAAGTAAATGCCAAATTTCTAATAAGAAAAACATGTAAATAAGATCATTCCATAATGCATAACAAAGTCTTCTTTCTACAGATTATCTCTGCCGTCGATACACGTACATAGTTTTAAATTGGTGGTTTACAGAGTGAGAATGGGAATAAAAATATCTGAGGGCAGTGAATTCTGCTGAGAAAGCCAGGAGGGCAAGCCAGGCACTCACATCAGTCAGCCACCCCCAAGACGGGAGCATAAGGCAGGGCGACAGATTCATTCCATTTGTGAGCCCCTATTTGTCTAAAAATTGAATGTTGAGTTAAACCCGTCTCTTTCCTTTTGTCCCAGTGGTTTGTCTTCCTTCTTTCGATGCAAAGAAGAAGAGCCGGCTCTGCATGCGTGCGTATGCTTTCGTGGGAAAATGGTAAAATGGAAGCAAACTACAACAGAACCGATATGCACCCTCCATTGTATTTAGTCACAAAAAGACACTCGGGTTGTGTGTGAGATCGATAAAGTCGTCTGAAGTGGTTCCAATCGGAGAGAGAGCAAAGTAACGTTGGCGGCATTCCTGCGGTTCGTTGTCAACAGTGGTTGTCGCTTGTAATTACTTTCACCAAAGCCATGTCCGACTTGCTCACCAATAATAATAGGCCAAAAGGAGGAAATTTTCGAGTTTTTGCATCCTTTTCATGTTCAACAGCTTCCCACAAACTCACAAACCAATCTGGGTTGTGTATTTGGATTTCGGCTTAACTTCCTCTCCTTCGCGTCTGAAGCAATAACGCTCACAGAATTCAGTATGGAAATGACTCGGGAAAAATACTTATTTGGAATAAAAGAGATGGATGGAGGTTCATCTCTGCTCCAAGGTTTATGCCCATGCAATAGTTGATTAATATGTTTCTCTACATGATTCATATTTGCACCACCTTACAAAGTTTGTACAAGTACATATTCAGCCTACCCAAACATATATAAGTAATACGCTTAACAACAAGTACACCAAGGCTGAAATTAGCAACAACCCCATAGCATAAACTTGGAAGTGTTTTTTATCACTGGATCATGTACAGTTTCAAGTTTCCAATTTATTTTAGTTATACAAATCAGGAAGACGCACCCCATGTAAAACTGAGGCTGGAGAGGCTGGAGAGAAGTTGGCATTAGTCGGGACGAAGCCATTTATGAGACGGTTTTGATGAAACAACCATCTGTCGCCTCGCCATTGTGGCTGGTTCGCTACTTGGCTCGCTACTGGGTTTTGTGGTGGTTGAAGGGTGCAGGAAATCAGGAGCGGCCGAGAGAAAGTAGTGGAGGCAAAAAGACATTCATGGGCGGGCTGGATGGGTGGACGGAGACTCATCTGTCTCATCTCATCCCCAGACATCAACTCCAATCGACATCTTCCAAACGGATGAGAACTTAAGTTGTGCCACACGCCGCCCCATTTATTCTCCCATCACTTTCACTTGGCTTTCACTAACCACCGCAAATTTAGTGGCGCACACTTTGTTGCTAATAATATGGAATGCCCTTATTTTGCTTTGTGCTGCTGATGATGGCAGCAGCGTTGCCGCAGAGCTGATTGGCCGAGTTATTAGGGATATGCCAAACTTTACTTTGTGAAATGACCAGTTCGTATGATTTGGCTGGATCGCTTAACTTTACTGTTTAATAATATGTAAACAAATAGCAACTTACAATCAACGGATATCTTCAATCTTTTCGACACTCCGGGAGGGACGCCGTTACTGGCTATGCCTTCACATAAGGTAATAGTTACAAATTAATTAAACTTGCATTTGAGTAACAATTGATGGGGTTCCTGCTTATTAGAAAATTAATTTTGCTGAGGTTTCTTACATAAATGTGCTCCCATATCCAATCGACTGATTCGAGACAGTTCCAAAGTTTCCCCTTCCCACTCGGCGACTGAAAGTTTATGAAATGAAACCATATACAATTTTCACCATCAACATTTAAACAAATCGAACTACTGATATTATTTTAAATATTGAAAAACTTCTAAGAAGTAAAATTTAATTTTAGTCTAAATTGCTAATTAGAGATTAAGACCTGAATATGTTTTATTGATTCTCAAGTCACCGCCATCCTCCTAAAATTAGAAAGTCAATGTAAAAACCAAAATACATAATAGACATCACTGGGCTAAAGGTATTCTCACCCGTCTCCATTTCACCACAGGGGTTGGTGAACCTTATTGAGAATTGTAAAAAAGTTTTTAAATGATGACTCGAAATCAATTTTAAATATTAAGTAAGTAGTTACCTGTAGCATGACATTGAAGAGAAACGTTTGAGTTTTCACGAACAATTATATCTGAACTACTCATGGAATCGTCAATGTTTGGTGGAACTGTAACAGGAAAAGAGCACATTGTTTCACAAATTGATAAGTATTTATGTATATTACTTGTCGTGTTGTTATTGCATATCTGCACATTCAATTGCACATAATTTTTTCAGCAGGGTAAGAGAATTGTCACTACTTGTCTCATTATACAAACAATGCTCCACCGTTTTCGAGTGAGGTTTTCCGAAAAATGGCAAAAATGCTCCTTCGACGGAAATACGTGAAATTTAAGAGAAGATGCCAAGTCATGGCAGGGACATTAGGTCGACTTTTCCTTTTCCTTATCTTTTCTATCGTTCCATCCGGGACACACTTCTTCGTCCGTCCTTGCCTTTCACTTTTTTTCTTCTACACCATACTCAACCTGTACAAATTTCTGGCCTGTCTTCACTTACGACTGAACAGTCGGTCGGCTGTCTAGTTCCTAATCTTACCCTTCTTCCCGGCCTGCAAATATCTATACGCACCTACGGAATACCTTTGCGCTACATCAAACTACTTCAAAAATTGTCTTTTGCCTAACTTAACTGACTGTCTGTTGAGAAATAAAAGCGTTCAGCTCGAGTAGTTTGTTTGTTTGGATAGGATACATGGATGCATTTGCTCACTATCTTATTTTGGATTGGGGACGATAAGTTTCTGCTCTTTCAAACCAACCAAGGGACGAGAATAAGGTGCATACAAGAGAATTGAATGAAAGAGAAGGAGAAACTTTCCCTCGTCCCGTCAGTCCTCTCCTCATTCTTAAATGTACAAATTCGAGGAAGAAAAACAACACGAAAGAAACAAAATGGGGAGAAGAAAGTTGTAAGTGAGGAAGAAGTCAGAGTGGGATGCAGTTAAAAGCCACTTCGTCAATTCCTACTTTTTTGGAGTCTCCAGGGACTTTAAGTCACTGAAATTCGGTGGCTTTACGCATTTCTCTGCATTGCATCCAAGCCGAGGAGGGTGGATGAGCAGCAGGAGGAAAAGTGTGTATATCTGTAGTGGGGGATGTTGTGAGAAGAAAGGAAAAGAAGATCCTCACAAAAACTGTATGTATAGATATTCGTGTGTGTGTAGTACTTTCTTCTTTCTGGACAATTCATCTACATGTTATGGGCATCCCACAACTTTGGAACTTCATAAATTTTCATACCGAAAATTAAAGAGCTTGTTGAATCAACAAATTATCATCACATACATTATTCTGGCTCTGTCGTCTGCATATGGAACATTGAATACATAGAAGAGACTATTCTCAAATGTTGCTTCTCATGCTATGGGAGAAGATACGAGTGAAGATACGAGCGAGTGGTGCAATACTGTTCGAGATTACAAATCTGATTTTTTATCAGTACTGATGATAACTACAATCCGAACGGGTGAACAAAACACAAGGATGATAAGAATTTAAAAGCGTTCGGCTCTCAAATCTACTACGGAACCTGGAACTGTTCAACCCGGGATTAAGAAAAGGGGTAATTTTTAGCCGAGGGTCTTTGTTTTTTTAAAATATGAGTGTTGTAAAGGTGAGTGTGCATTATTTGGGGAGGAATACGGATAAACAATGTCAATTTAATTACTAATCAGTCTCATGTTACAGATGAAACAATTTGAAAGCGGAGAAGAATTTATATTCGATGGCATTACTAAAATTCCAATTTTTGGAATCGCCTATGGTGTCCCACGCTCCTTGGCATACGCCTCCATGGGAAACAAAAAACAGATGATGAATTCCATACGCGGTGTCGCAGAAAATGGGGCAGGTGTCCTCAAATTAATCGCAACTCCACTAACTGCACCAATCGGTAAACTGGGTTGCGATAAATATTTTGCAATTTCGTCTACATGCCTTCAATGCAATTTTTTGCATAATAAAAAGTGAAACATTTTGTATACTAAAATAAGCTGTTGTGATTTGGGTTTCTCATCAATATTATTAATTCGTTCATGCCTGCATATAATTCTGAAATCGAGTCATTTCCATTACCACGAGAATCTCATTACTTCCTGATAATAGCCATTACACGCCTCATAAAACATTTTCATAAGGCTCGCTCACTTACGATTAGTTCCCCAGTCCATCATTTCGTGCCCCTCCTGGTGTGTATACCATTATTGTGACTGCAACGAAATAGCTTTCTGACAGATTCGCCCACTGCACTGCCCACTTGTCATGCCATGCATTTGCCAGAATGTGAAAAATAAATCTCCGGGATTCTTTCTTCATTTTTCTACTAATGAACTGCAGCTCGATTTTCACAATATCTGCTCTAACCATTATGACTCGTGTGGAATTGTTGAACCAAGTGGCATAATATGTAGGAACTAGGTCCTTCATTACTTCCATCAACTGGTTCGCTAGCTCTATAATAACAACACAATCGCCACACTGCATGTACCACCAACCACTCTGTTCTGGCTTACTTTGTGTTAAGCTGGAAGATATCGAATAAATCTGTGTGAGATTCACATGAGCATATAACTCCAGGATCCATCATGGATTAAACACGATTCGTGAAGCAGAAAATCAAGACTTACGCAATAATCTTATCTCACGGACTGAATGTTGTGTTCATGGTGGGACCATGGCCTTCTTGTCCACTACATATTTATGTACATATGTATATGATCAACCCAATAATCCATGTTGCATATCCAACAATTAAATTCTGCTCATCATATGTATTCTCTATTCATAAAATTGCCTGGCCTGTCTATGGCTTAATGCCATATAAAATTATATAGAATTATATCCCTCACGAATAATAATTCCTTGAAAAAGCTGTGCTGCATAAGTCACAGCATTATTTCATGTCGGTGGTTTGGAACTTGGCCAATTCATTTTTACCAGGCATTGCCGATGGGTATTGTCGAAGAAGAAGACAAAGAGGATCTCATGGTTTAGATTTACCATAAGCTGCTTATTCTGCACTTTGTCGCATTTGGCGTGAGATGTGAGGCTTCACCTCAACTCCATCCATTCTACGAATCTTGAACCGTATGTGCATACTTGTTGAAGCAATTGTCAATAAATCGGAACCAATTTCAATATAAAAAAGAAACAATGTTGGCCCTTTATGTATCAACACATCACTACAAGACTTGGCTTATAGCCACAAATTTCACCCAGTCATAGAAATAAACCATAACGCATATTGCGTGTATTTCCATTCTCCTTCCCCCTTCCGACCTGTTGATATCGCCTGTGTGCGGGGACTTTATTTCGAAAAATTCTTTGTATTTATTTAAAAATCGTAATTTAGATATAAAATATCAACTACAATCTGAGACTATTAACCAGAACGAATTTAGATAAATAACTATTGTTGGTAGAATTCTGATAAAAAAGAGAAAAAAATTGAGACGCATGAGTCAGAAAACGCAACGGCTTGCACAAAACTAATAATAAATTATGAATACGTTGTGTTGAGCAATGCCTAGTTTGAGGAAGGATGGGATTCGTCACTAAGGAATAAGGAATAATGAAAAGGGGGAAGTCTCCCAAGCAAGTATGTTGCAATATGAGTAATGTGAGTTAGATGACATCACTGCCTACGCGTGGATAAGTATTCCCCACTGTAGCACTTTAAATCTCTGCACAAACCGTGTCCAGGTCGATATGGGAAAGGGTTTCGTATTATGCAGAGACTTGTCGCTAACTCAATTCTAACAGTCCAACAGGTACACAGTGTCAAAGATAAGCTCTGCTTGTTGCACTAATTCTAATTATTCTTGTTCCTACCATTTCCTAAAATGTTATTGAAACCATTTTAGAGTCAAGTAGCAACAAATCAACTTCATTACGTATATTCAACGGATGACTTATCTTTATCCGATATCTTGAGCAACAGCAAATTCGTTTGAAACTGTGTGAGCACATTAACATCTTGCAGGAGCCATTGAGTGAGAAGGAGGCGTCTGTATGTGCATATATGCATGTGTAACTGAACGTGTGGGCTTCGAGGGGTGCACAGTAGGAGAGCCATGGAGAAGTGAAAGCTCGAGCTTTCTGCATGGTGTTCTGGGAAATGGGTTGTACATATTCTGAACGGAAAGGGAAATTGCCATTTGGAAAGAATGAGTGCAAGTCGACACGAGCTGTTGAATATAAGTGTGCCTCACGCAGTCATAATGACTTTGCTTTCACTAGGCAGTCGTTCTAATAGCAGGCTAATTAGGAAACCAATTAAGGCAAAACTAGGCAATATGATCCGTCTAATGGCTTCTTCCGCCTTCTTTCCACCAGGCTCCAATCTTGTACCAACAGCCGCAAACATGAAATCAAGACTCGCGATTACCATCACTTTTGAATGCATAGAGTTACAAGGAATATTCGCAGGCATTGATGACAAACTTGTTCTATTTCGCAGTTCGAATAATACATTTTCCAACGACAAAAGGCTTGTACGTATGTGTCCACAATACATAAACTTGTTAATAGACGAGATGTCCATACATGACAAAATATGTATCTTTTATGCGTTGTACAGCATAGTTTGGTTTCAAAATGTGGATTATTCTAGAATGATAGTAGTTAAAGAAAGATAACGTCGCACTTGTCTGCTCACCAAAAATAAATCCAACTTTCAAACTGATTCTTTGTGTTTAGATCACAAAGACAAATTTTTGATTCAGCTCGACTGCAAATTCAATCGCATACCGACAACCAAATTCTATTATGTTGTCCTTAGACCTCAATGTACTCATCCTCAGATCAGGTTTCGGTTTTCCCCTTTCTCGGAACGGTGTGCTCCAGCTCAAACGAGCAAATCTGATGTCATTGTGTATTAAATTTAGTAGATAATGTATGAATATAATAGATGTGTACATATTTATTTATAAATACATAGATCGATATAACGGACTATATGTATGGAGATGATCAAATTTAATATGGTGTCAACTCTGAACTATTTCCAAGCATGGAAAAATAGTTGAAATTGAAATGTGTGCATTCCGAGTCAAATATTATCCGTCAATCTCTTATTTTTGAAATGATTAAACTTGTTTGGAGGCAGAAGTTTTTTGATAATTTTTTTTGCTTACCGACGACGTGAAGATATCCAAATTGTGTTTTTGCAGTTTCTGTGTTAATCTGGCACTGTAATTGCAACAATCAGCAACAATTACAAACTTTTGTTAAGTACATTGCATATGATGAACAAAACTTTTCTTACCATATATCTTCCAGCATCTGACTCTTGTACCTGCAATATCACAAAAATTTATGTAACCAGAATTTTAGGAAGTTTAGCTTACACAAATCATTAAGTTCAGATTAGACACATTTGTTAACTAGAGGTAAACTAAATATCTATACCAAAAAAACCATATACTCAACAATCGACATGATAATGTACAATTAAATGCGCTTTACATTTCGTACATATGCATGTACATGTGAATGTGAAAAAAAATGTAATGAAAATAATGTGCATAAATATTCATATACTTATATGTGTCGAGTCTTATAAAATAAATTCAAGATGATTCACATATATTTATTACATTTTCGATATGAAGAATCCATGTTCGATGCTTGTCATGAGTCACTTTAATCCTAGGATTTCCTTAAAATTTGACAATAGTGAAAATTAGTATTGTATTTAGTTTCACGATCGTTAGACTTTATTTCGCTCCAGAGTGTAAAATGTATGTCGTGAAGGATTTAATCGGCAACGCTTATGACAATTTTATTTCCAGTTCCAGTTTTTTGCCTAAATGCTAGCTTTTGCCGAAACAATACAGAACATAAAAGTCCAACGATCTTGACTTTATTTTTTATTTTATTTATTTCATTTACTTGTTATGACATGGGTTTGTACAGTAAGAATTGCGGATCCTGGAAAAAGATAAAGATAATTATATTATTTTAGTAAACACTATTATTTTACTTTGAAGACTTGCTAAATTTACCTTCGAAATGAATCCAGGCCACCTGAAAATATAATAACTTTATTCTCCATTTCACGAGAAATTAATATACATGTGTAGGAGCATTAGTGAAGTCAGTTGTAAATTGCTCAAAATCCGTAGTTTTTGTAATTGAAAGATAATGAGTCGTTTTTTCAGAGGGTTGACTTGTGAGGAGCATTTACGTTGTTGGAATAAATAGCGGTGAAATTTCTAAATTATCATATATCTAGCATTAGAATTTTCATAGAGGTAATAGTTGTGCATAATATGTAATAGAATCTGGGTTAAATTTAATGCACCACCGAATAAGCTGAAATCTACCATAAATTTTAGCTGAATTCGCCACCGGATGAATTTTTTCCAACTTTAGCCTTTTCAGCCACCAATTTAGATGGTGGTTACCACAAATTTAGATGAGCTGCCATTACCATATATTTCATGAGTGTAGGATTATAAAAACAATATAATTTACAATAATATGATTTATTTATGTATATAATACGTCTATATACACGTCCTTTTTTAAAATGCACTTGAAATTAAATAACAATGAGCCCTTTTTTAGCTTTCGCAACCCTACCATTCTCACGCTTTTGACCAAATGGAACGGTTTTGGCTTCCGGTCTAACATAATAAAACGTATTCTGAATTTCTAAACCAATTATTTCCTTTCGTCCCCTATTTCAGGCCTTCTAAGAGAAATTTAAAATTTCTAGATGTCCCTCTAGCAACAAAGCAAAACTGGTTGGGTGAAAAGTTCGGGTTTGTTAAAAAGACCCCACTACTGGCACAGGAAACCAGAGTGTAGTCGGATCGATGTTTTTTTAAATCCGACTTGTTCGGATCCTTAAAAAATCCGATCCAATCCGACCAGGTCGGGTCCTAAAATAATCCGACCCAATCCGAGTCTCTCGGATTCGGATTGGATTAATCGGATTAAATTCGATGTCCTACTGCTCTCTATATATACATAAGGTGCGTTTATGCTTCACGTAATCGTCATGTCCTCCTCCAAATCCGATTTTTTGATTGGTTAAAATTGTTAATTGTCGTAGTGATCATTTCGTTCAGCCAATCAAAAAATCGGATTTGAAGGAGTACGTGACGATGACGTGAAGCATAAACACCACTATACTGTAGTCGGATTGATGTTTTTTGAAATCCGATCCGACTTGGTCGGGTCATAAAAAATCCAATCCTATCCGATCCGATCCACCTTTATTGAGTCAGAGAAAAATCCAATCAAATCCTACCCTGTCGGATTCGGATAGGATTAATCCGGTTAAGTCTGATATCCTACTACTCTCTAGGAATATTAGACGCAACTGGTCTTGAGTTTCTAAAATTTGGGAGAATTTTCCTCAGAAAGAGAGGATACGGTACCACTGGTCCAATTAAAAACTTGCGAACACGTAATTTCTTTGGTTTTAAAAAACTTTGTTTAGATAGATATATTTTAACTGCAGGACAACTGTGAGAGTAGTGATGACCAGCCGAACGGTAATACATACTTCTCCTGCCCAGTCTAGTCAATGATATACAAATTTATACATGGGTACATGCACAAGGAAATTAGCATGATTTCTTGAGATTATTGTGATTAATTTTTTTTACAAACATATGTAGGTATATCCCATGTTTTATCATCATGAAATATGGTGATGGCAGCTCATCTAAATTTGTGGTAACCACCATCTAAATTGGTGGCTGAAAAGGCTAAAGTTGGAAAAAATTCATCCGGTGGCGAATTCAGCTAAAATTTGTGGCAAATTTCAGCTTATTCGGTGGTGCATTAAATTTAACCCATAGAATCTGAAATCAATTTAAAAAAATCTTTTGCCAAGGGTACGCTGGTTGTGGGTAAGGTCGCTTTGGGACTGAACAAAAATTAAAAAAATTTGTTTTCCCCAAATCTGAGAGTATTATGTCATCCTTGTTTCGCATTGTTAAAAACTTCTACCACTGGTTCTGGGTTTTTCACATTTCAAAGCACCGGCAAAAAGTTGGAGCTCATCTTCAGCTTTAGCATTGCAATGGCACAAACATGCAACAAGCACAAAGCAAAACTTGAAAGTTGTGCACCCCAAATCTCTGAGGAAAGGGAAGAAAAATGATATAAAAACATTCACACATTTAAAGAGAATGAGATTGGAGCAAATTGAACTGGAAAGTCCATGAATATTTTATGGCGTTGTTTGACTCACTTCATAATCTCTCATGTTCAATCATTTTCCTTTTCAAACCATCAAGCATCCAGCCTCAGGGGAAATGTTTTCACGGTCACATGAAAACGAAAATATGTACGCAGTGAGAAATATAATGCATACTCTACCGTGGGCTGTACCCGAAATCAGTTATAAATGCTTGTATAATTATGATTAACTAAATAATTAGAACAAATGAAGCGCACATGGACATGGATGCATATTCACATAGTTTTAGTATAAAAAATCGGAAAACCTCCGAAACCAAGTATTTATGTATGTAGGAATACTAGGAACGAATTGCTTTCATTCACGTCATTCAAAGAACAACCAAAATCTTATAAATATGCATGTGGACCAGAACTGTAGATGATTTTGTCTTCCACCGCTGGCCCAAAATAATGGGCAGAAGTGTGTGAGTGAGGGAGGAAAAGTGCTCGAGCCGGGTTTTGGAGGATTTCATCTCGAGTTTTTCTTAAACTTTGTACAAGCTTGAATAATCTGAGGAAACCGTCGCTGGTAATTTGAATTCGTAGCGGATGCTCTGGTTAAATTTGAATTTAATTTGACAGAGGATGTTGAATTAAGCAATCTGATTACATAAAAACACACCCTGTCGCCTACCATCATTTTTCTTTGATGATGTAAATATGCAACCACCAGGATTTGAAGCCAAAATTTGCAGCTAAACAGGATGCATATTTTAATTGCACACATGTTACCCCATAATTTATTTGCGGAATGCGCAGACACAATTTAAAGTACTTACTGAGCATTGATTTGATTTCAAGACTAGCAACATAATAAGAGTCGACAGCTTGGTCGTCTCTAAGTGCTTTCCCAACAAATGAGAAGCGAATGAAACGAGATGGTGGCCAGATATTCCACTTCAAATGCGAGGCCGTTGTGAACATGGTGGATGTGCGGAGATGCTTTCACCACCGCCAACTGAACTATTTGACAAAATTTTCCTTACGCACGTTTACCAAGCCTTTATACGTATGTATGTACGTATACAGGAGTCGTTGTGGTTCCGAATTTCGTTACATAAATCCACACCACCACTTTCTCCATCCTCCGGGCATTTAGCATCAACAGAGCAAAGTGATACAACATTGTCATTATATTATTTCAACCGCATAGCGCTGTCCTAATCAGATTTCTCAAATAATATTTTAGCACCCACCGGTCTCGAATTTTAAATTAAATTTTGTGCAACTCGCAAATGATTTGCTTAATACAAATAAACAAACTTTGAGATACTCACCTACCACTATTTCTACAAAAGAAGTAAAGTAAAGCCTCTGCTTTCCACAGTACTTGCAGATATATGGGAAATTGCAAAACAAGGGAAAACCACAGTCATTTTTGGTAAACATCATGCAGGCAATGCACCCCAGGACACTCGTATACTTTAAAATCCTCCATCAACACAACCAAAACCAAGTCATAAGCCACAAATTCCAACGCTTTCCTTCTGCATGTAAATACTCGACAAGAGCGAGGAATTATGGAGGAACAGCAGCAACAAAGCCATACGGTCTGATGTTGCATGGATTTTATGCCATCATCGTCTCGTCGCTATGCTCAACTTATAAGTATCAAGAGCTCAAGTGTAAGGCAATATATGCAGATTCATAACTTTCATCGCCTGCCTTATTGCGATCTCTACCACGGTGGTCCTTCCCGGAGACGTTATTTTCCATGCAGTGAAGTCTAGAGTCCAAGTCCCTCGACTGAAACCAGGGACGAGCTCTGAGTCAACGAAGCTTGGACTCATTCCCGTTAATCTCTTACTTACTATCAGTATCAACTATCATCCAATTTCAAATTCAACTTATGCCACGACGGCATTAAGGAACATGTAAAGGTTACAAGTTTATCTTTCCTTAAATAGAAGAACAAAGTTTAAAGTGTTTTAGCGATACGGCTTATTTGAGTTGGTGGAGGTTGCGGCAAAGTTGGATGCTCGCGAATTCAAACAACGTTCAATTTAACGTGCCGATGTGTAGCCCTTGGCTGTGCACTTGAGTTAAATACTGGGCTGAGATCTATGCAAATGTTGCATAGTTTCCCGTTAATGTTGGTTTCCCGTTAAAGTCATTTTGAAGAGAGAGTTCATAATCATGGGCGGAATGTGATGTAAAGATGTAAAGTGGCATAATGGGCCTTGTGTAGTGAGGGGATGGGAGGCCAGTTTGTTAGTCAGAAGGTGAAGCCTCAAGCTACCAGTTTGATGGCTTAATCATGTTGATCGCCACTATCAAAACACTTGGTCTTCAGCATCCAGCTTTGCCTCCCGAAATTAGTTCTGTTATCAAGCCCTAATTTCCCTCCTCCGTACTTTGCTTACACAGGGAGGCTGGCTCAAATTACGACTTATTGCTTCAATCTGGTTCCGGTTTGTGAATTGTGATACGCCATACGCCATAATTGTTCCTTTGATCAATAGAAGTGCTCAAAATTAAGTATCTTGGAGTTGAATTCCTCAGTCTTGCGATCCGAGTGGATTTTAGTTTAACCAGAAATTGGGTTCAAACTAAATCCAGTTATATTTACCTATGTACACCGATTTATGTAGCCACAAAATACTATACGCGCAAAAAAATTAGAATTATGGAGACAAGTAGAATCCAAATAGCAGAGGAATTTTGTTTTGTTTGGTAGTCTTCCAACATTCTGGTCAAACCTTGGCCAAAAATATTATTCGCCCTGTCACGTTTTCATTACCAAATAATTCATTTATTTTTTATTCCTCCATATCCATCAAAACTAGGCTCGAATTGCTTCCAAATATTGTAATGCAGGAAATGATGGGACCACGTCCCACCGTTCCAGTCAAAATGTGAATGCGTTGGTGCTGATGTTGCGGATTTTCAGGTGAATAAGTGAGTATACATACGAAGAAAGCGAAAGAGCGGTCTCATCATCATACTGCAATCCAAGTTGTTGGTATGCATTACATCACCCGCTCGCTCAGGAGATACTCTTGGTGGACGACGACTTGCAACTTCAAACCAAACCGCAAGGAATTTTACCTTCTCTCCGTTCTCGCCATGCTTTGAAGTATGCGGAGAAAGCAGGGGATGCGAAAGGGTGAAAATCTCGCCCATAGGCGTCTCATTCCACCATTTGTGTGATTGATGACACATACACACATAGCCTGCATAATCTAACCTTCTTGTCTCCTCCATCCCGAAGGATTAGGCTCATCGCTCCTTCTCTCTCACACCGTCACGCCGCTTCTACGTTCCTGATTCCTTTCTCCACAACCCTCACGCAATGCAAATATTGTGCTCAATATAGCACGAAATCAAGAAGACATGACACTCGCTCAACACCATCCATGAGTGGCGTGCGATGGGACCAGGTCTCCCTCAAACATATCTGGAGTACAAAACCAACAAGGAATTTACGTGGAGCATCTTTCCCAAGTCGAAAGAGCGAAAGAATCATCGTCAATTTGGTGAACGCGAGCAAATGCAATAGGAGAAAATTGTAAGAAAGAAGGAAAGTGTCACAAGTTTAAGAGAAAATCATAGAAAATATGCTTGCTTGTAGTAAACCAAATTCAGTTTTTTAGAAATATTGTCACGAGCTTCCAACAAGCCACTTTTTTATATAAATTACTCAATTGTGAATAATATGTGTAGGGACGAATGGACGATAATGCTTTGCATGCAACTGAGACTGAAAATGCTAGCATACAAAATTTGTGTAGAAAATAATCCCATTAAAGTAATACGGCAGAAAACAAGGTTTTGATACTGATATCTAGTCATAAATTAAGCATGTCTTAGCCGTAATGGTTTATTTTTATCTAAATAAGCACGTATCACTACTGACAGCGGCGTTTAACAAGCATATCTTACAATGGAATTTACCAATGTTGAACTTGCGATAGAAACAATACCGTCCAAGCAAAAATGATTGTCTCATAACTGTCGAGAAATGTTGGGGGCAACTGGATGCCGTCCAGATCGTGGACCGATTTGTAAGATGCCAAGTTGACATGATTGGGAAGCGATTTAAAATAAATAGCCAAATGGAATGTTCTCAAAGCTACGAGATACACATTCACTACGGGGCCTTAGGTCTTCGCCAGTCTCGGTAAACAAATTGCAGACGTTTTTTACGTTCTTTTCATTGGGTGGGCAATAAAATATTTGGACATTTTTCTCCATGTTCTCGCATTCTGTATAGTGTTTAGCTATGCACTTGCTCTGTTAGTTTCAAAAGTTGTATCAACTATCAACTTTTACCACTGCTTCACTGAGCGCCGGAGTAAACTGTGAAGATGGCGACGAGCGTAGCAGGTCTTTCGCTGGAGCATAAAATTGGTGAAAGTTGTCCAATACAATTGTGTTCACTAATATGTCGAAAACCAAAAAAAGTGGAGGAAAGACATACCTTATGGGGTCCTAAATTTTTCACAGAGCAGGCCATCCGGATATCTCTCGAAGCAGGAGCAGTAATATTTTCAATAGGTTCGGCAAACTCAGGATCTTCAGCTGAAATATATTTTAAAAATATAATACAATGCAAGTAATATCTTAATAATACACTTTTATATGCCCTGGAACTCGCTAGACTGACGATGAGTAAAGGATGATGCAGAATATGTATGATAGATATGCTAATGAGTGAGTATTGCTGTTCTTTGTACTATTTCAATGGATTTGTATTGTTAAATGCTATAACTAACTTGTAAACTTGTTTTGTCAGCTGAATAAAGGAATAAACAAGCCCCTAAAAAGGGAAATCTTAGTGAGCCTTGATGTAAGTATCAATATTAAATAAATTTTCCGGAACAGCATTTGCATCGCCGCTCTCAACACTATCTTTAGTTTTATAAAATAATATTGAGAGCGGGGATGCAAATGCTGTTCCGGAAAATTTATTTAATATTGATACTTACATCAAGGCTCACTAAGATTTCCCTTTTTAGGGGCTTGTTTATTTAATACTTGTAATTGAGTTATCCTTAGATGTTGTTTCCAATGGCATTTAACTTTTTGTAACTGCATAATTTTTATCCATTTTTCAGTTTCAAACTTGATTATCTATATCATTTATTAACCGATTTTTATCATATTTATATCAAAATTTGCACAATTAGCAGGTCTAAAATGTTTGCAACTAATATCTGACATATAATGCTCCAGAAATTAACTAAAAATCAAAAGGTGTTTCCAAGAGCACATTTTTGCTTATAACTCGCGCAAAAATCAAAAATTTGCTAAACCGGTTCGCAGGTCGTTTCTAAATACCGTAACAATGATCTGTGCAAAATTTCATCAAAGTCGGTTGAGAAATGACTGAGATATTGCAGGTGGTCACTTTTTTGGGGTGGGGTAAATGCATACTTAGCAATTTTTTTCGTTGTTAGGTATTTGCCTCACTAAGAAAAATACAAGTACTTATTCGGTTTAATGGTTTGGGTGTGAATAAAATGTGTTATACGAGAGTAAAGATTCAACCCAGATTTATAATATCTATGTTCTCATTCATCCATACATTTCAATTCAAAGGTTTCATCAATCATTAAATTATGGTAAAAATTGAGTTAGCATTATTTGCAACAAAAGTTAGTGCAGTGCTTGAATTCAATTCATGGCACTGAATGAATTAATGAAAGTGAAATGAAGGGTAGGAATTCGTGGAGATTGGACGGGCCTGGACTCTGACTTAAGCAAAGTGTAGTAAGTAGTCCAGGGCAGAGAAAGAAAGTCAGGAAATACTTTCCTTGACTTTTTTCCATCTTTCTACCCTCCTCCTCCTCCTGCATACCAAACAAGAAATGAAGAAAAAACCGATATATTTTACAAATTCCTTCTCTCCCCTTGACTTTTCCTATCTCGCCCATTTCTCCTTCTGGTCATGGGACAGAATGTTTCGCAATATTATCGAAAGGAATGCTTTCTTTCTTCACTTTATTGCTCAAACGAGTCGAACTTTGGGAAAGGATGTAGTGGAGACAGTCAATAATGTAACCCTTGTTTTCTGCAAGGCCAGGCGTCCCATGCCCGTTTAAATGTTTGCCTTTGCTATACATATGTACAAATGGAAAAGTCAAGCTAAAAAATGGCTTTATTTCACCAGACACAATTTATGAACATCAATACATTTTCCGTGCTCTGAACGATTAAATGACATTTATTGCTTTGGACAAAAAACTCTGAGGCTGGTTTTGTACGAACGTCATTTAAGACGAGCCTTGGTTCGTAGGATAGAAAATTTACTGCAATCTTTACTACAGCACAGGAACATGAATGAAAACACCTGAAACCTCAAAACGGCGTCGTACGCCACATGACATAAGGTAGATTGTACATGCAGTGTTTAATGTTTTTAGAAGTTTGTGTTATTTTAATGGTATTGTCCAATTATTGTAATAGTTTCTAGTCGTATTCTTAATTCTAAAGATTCGTACTACATACAGCAAGTACCGACGATACCGAGTTGTGTTCATATTCAAATCTAATCTATGTACTTCTCGGTTTCTTGGTGCAACATTGCCAGTTTTAAGTTTTCAATTAAGTTAGGTTCGCAGTTGAACGGTAATCAAATGGCTTCAGGTGATGTTGGGTCTCAACATTATACAATATTCTTGCATAGCTGACTAGTGCATGCATAGTGATGGAAATAATAATACAACAAAATAGTCAGCAACTTGATTTCCCGAGACTTGGTGGGAAATATGTAAATCAAGTCGAGTCTATCAAATAATTCTCAATATCCCAAGTTCACTTCCTCACTCCTTCCACTGTGGGGCACCGAAAGACGTGGAGGTTGACTGAAAGAAGTTTGCATCTCTCATCTTCCACCCTTCCTCCCCAAGCTTGCCCAGCCAGAGCTTCATCTTGAAAAATGTGAAGATCTTCCTCTTCCCCAAACCACCGTCCTCAACCACTCCCGGGGGCCATATAAAGAATCAGCTAACGATGTCAAGCATAAAATTCCTCTCACATGCATCATGTGAGAAGAGATTTGCGGTTCTGCACCTTGTTCACTGCCACCCAGTAACATAAATGCGATTGTTATTACATCATCATTTCATGTGTATAGATCTTGGCAAACTGAGTAATGCGGTTGCACTATTATTTGTTACATCGAGTTGTCACACTTCGATTCCACGTGAATATTACACACAACTGGTCCTTCGAACGGGGCTGGAATGCAAGCTGATCCTGACGAGAAGAGCAAAAGTCGTATCTGCAGAGAGGAGAGAGAGAGGGAAAGAGCGAGAATCTAATCCACTCTCTTCTTTCCAGCGGAGAAAGTCAAATCTCATTGAGGCATTTGACTAATCATGCACCCGAGAGAACAAAGCAGGCGAATGGAGGTGAAGTGAGAATGATTAGGGAACAGGCCTCGCTGGTATTCAACGCTTATCCAAACTCATCATCCATTTATTTTGTTCCTGTTTTGTTGGAGTGACACCCGAGCAACAACAACAGGACAGAAACTAACGAAGACAGAGTAGCTCAACATCCAGTAATTTCCCTAATATTTATCCACCATCAGACACAACTGACTGACTGACAGGCTACAATTACGAATTGCTAATATTTCTGCAAGTTCACGGAAATGAAATAATATGTCACGTCAGCCTCCCACTGTCTTTCGGGAATTTTCCCGTCACTAATCCCGTTTTAGTTTGCTGGATGTGGTTTAGTTTCCCATTTCTTCTTCGTGACTGCTGTTCAATTTTATCCACAAAAGTTATAATGCGTATTTGTAATATATATGTAAGTACATATCTATGTAAGCATATGCATCGAAAGTTTTCTCCATTTATCACGCCGTAGGAATTTAAACCGTCATTGCATCATTTGTACCGTGTCACTTATGGATAAATAAATTATGGGTGTAAATGTAAATTATGGTTCTTGAATCAAGAATAGACAACAGAAAATCTAGATTTTGGGGTTAAACCTTACTTAACTCGTATTATTATTTAATATTGAATTTGATTTAACTTGTAATTTTCAACATCACCCTTGTCGAAAGCTTTGAGCGATAAAATTTATTATATATACAGTAAACTGGCATCTATGCAACCCGTTCAAAACTCTTCACTCAAGATCTAATAATAAATTTGGTTCCGAATATTTCAAATCATTGTCAATTGCATCAAAAAAAATTCGTTGAATTTTACTTTTAATTTTCGAATGTTTTTACGTTGTTTAAAAATTAGTTTTCGGTAACTTTTTGCCCACATAACTTGAAATTTGAAATAGATATAAAACATTTCAAATTTCAAGTAAATTGGGCACAAATGAAGAAAAAATCTAGTTTTTAACGAAAGATATAAGATAAATCCACGGGCAATATGTAATCCAATTTCTTACTTCCAAGTTGTTAGTGCAGTTGACCCCTATTGACCTAAGCAATCATATCTGGAATGTTTGGTTTCACTGCTATGGACATATGTTTGTGTGTATGTGTGATTAAATCTGAATTAAGATTTATGTATCAAAACAAGTCAAATGTGTCAACAATTTATATTATTTTCAATTCCTAACAACACCCACCAGAGCTAAAAAGTGAATACATGTAGTGAACTCGTAGTAAGAAGACATAAGATAAGCCTTTTAACTACGGAAATCTACAGAACTGAGGATGAGTGAGACGTATGTAAAATGAATTGCGTATCAAACATGGCATGTTTTGTGAGAATTAGAAAAAGTGGCAAAAACATGTATAAAATATTCAGTCGACCGTGGCAGTTCAATCAGCTCTTTTGTTCACTTTCTGCAGTTTGGGGATTGATCATCAGTCGTTATTCTTGCGAGGAGAGGGGAAAGTTACAACCACGTGTAACAACTTTCTTGTCCCATCAAACTTGCAATCAGAGCGATTGGAGCAGGGCTGATGGTAACACAATCATAAACTTGATACGGGTACAAAAGTAACAATGTCCGAGCCAGACCTTTAGCAGTAATGAAAATCAAAGCTCCGTTGAGCTGTCTAGATTTGGATCCACCTCTCCTCAATTCATCAATTTCCCAGACTCTCCTCCTCAGTCAGTCATCCTAGTCAAACATTCCGCTGACTTTTGACTTTGTATGACTCACCACGCATAAATAATCCTTACGCCATACTCTTGAACTTCCCGTATGTCAGGAAAACGGCCAGAATAATGCATGCAAGCAAAATTGTATTCAACTTTATGGCGAGACATTAAAAGTGATTTCAAAAAAGTCATTTACAAATTGTTGAATTCTGGCAGTTATTGTATAACAGCATTATTCGAAAATTTATTATCCCGTGTTATTTTTTATTATGGGTGGAATTTATAAACTCCGGTTTCAGCTGCATTGCACTATTCATATTAAGGTGGGCGAAAACTAGGTTTAGTGCACCTCACTGAAAAAGAAATCAGAGCGTGGACAAGTTTTTAAATAGTTATGGCTGTGGAGAAAAGTTAGTTTCTAATACAAAGTTTTTGGTGTAATTTATCATCTTGTTTTAATGAAAATCACTTTCCCGAGAATTTAGAAACCTGTGCACAGAAATAACTGAGCGAACAGTGATGAGCAACCCCACCAGGTTAAAATTATACCATGGTCTCTAGCCACCCCACTAATGACATTTTTAGGGAGAAGGTCTAGTAGTTTCGTCATTGTGATGCAAATTGGTTGCCCTCGTGAAAAATAAAAGTAACCCTGATAAACCATTTTCTCAAACTTTAGTTTATTTGCACTGCACAATAATAAAGCTTCGGTGCATTTTTATTTCATCGACTCTGATAATAACTTCGTTGTGCTTTAAATTCTGACTTTGCAGTGGTTGAGACCGGGATGATAATGTAAAAATCTCTCTTATTCAACGATTTAAAAAATAAGAAAACGTATATAAAATGGGACATTTCACAAAATTTGAATCATTAATGACTCGAAACTTTCTTTAATTTAAGAGTCTCTTATAAATCCTTTTCTATTTTATTATCCTCTGTGTTGATGCAGGAGATTCATCGCAATAGATCCAAAGCAGTTGATAAAAGTTCCCACTATACGTACGTGCATGTTCATGTTTACACCTACTACTTGAGTTCCACGAGATCTAGAAATGTAAAATGGTGAGACTATCGTCAGTGCATTTCTTTTTAGTGCATTTACTTGCATCACGCCTTGCATGTGTATCTTGGCACACGGAAAATGTGCGTCTTCTTGCATTTAAATTCATAAAAGGCTCCAGCCAGAACCTCCTTTGAATTCTGTTTTCTTCTCGCCATTCTTTCTTTCCGCATTTTGGAGGCAATGGTTCCCATCCAATAAACCTGCAGCTATAGTAAATCGAATCAAGGTTGAGATTCGTTCAACATAAAGGACCTAAGGGTGCATCTTTGGAAATGTGGCGTATTTGACACGCTACGCCATCAGAATTGACCGTTATCCATCGACACTATACTTTGTGCATTTGCACAATCGACGACTCAAAAAATCTTGCGTCTCGGAGTAAACAAAGAAGTGTGTGTAGGCAAGCCATAAACAGATACTGGCTCATGAAGCAAAGGTGGTGCGACTAAAACGTTGAGAGGAAGGTGGATATTGGTGTTGACTTAGTGTTGCATTGCCCATAGGCTTCTCTTCTTAATTCCAATGGCGTAGAGAAAAAGGTAATTCTTTGATGTGGTGTGCATGGTCTTTTCCCTAACTCACCGTATGAACTCGTCTGCATGTAGATGGAATTGTGCGAGTATGTGCTCATGATATATTCTCCTTTAATCCAAGATCGTGTGCTATCACTTGTTTCCTGTTCTACTCAGTTGTTAATATAGTCTAATGGCACTCACTGTTCTCCAGAGTAATAGGAGAGCTGTTAGATACATACGTAGAATCCAGGCAGTGAGTGTCGTATAGCAACATTATTACACGGGCGTAAGGAAAAGTAAGTAAACGTGCAGGATTTGAACCCAGCGTTGGAGAGACCAATGTGAACGAGGAATGAGTGAAGTGTGGGCAAAAAATGCACAGGAAGGAGATTGAGCGGATCTGGACTCGGGAGAAAGTGAGAGAGCAAAAGTGGTGCCTGCACGGACGAGTCTGAGAGGAAGCAAGGAAATACTTTCCTCGACTTCTTTTTCATCTTCTTCTTCTAACCCTCCGCAACCATCAGCAGCATCCCCACAACTTTGGCTCCTCTCTTCACGGCCACTGCACCACCGGACCCGCTTTCTCTCCCTCCAATTCCAGCACTTGCCTCATCAGAACTTGCCCAACAATCAGTATCTTTCTTTACCCTTTGCTCTGACCGCTGGAAAATGGGCAAGTACGGGTCACGGAGGTATTCAGTAGGGAAGCGTACATTGCTAGTTATCATATGTGCTCTGACCACGGTGAATGGTTGGTCGTAGATAATTGGGGTTGGTTGCGTTCTCATATGTTGGTCAATGAGTAAATACAAAGCAGACGTGTGTGTATATGTATTGTGCACACGTACGTGGACGAAACAGGAAAGCTCGCTGGTGAACTGATGTTAAAAAGATGACGCATTGTTCCAACTTTTTTAAACGAGTTGAAAGTGGCGGATAGAGGAAGAAAATTTCGGTGTTGGCCATTGCACTACTAGCAGAAGACGAATTCCCTTAGGTTGTATTTTGAAGTCGGATCACATCCTTGCACAACAGACAAGAGAGAAAAAGTAGTCCCTGTAAGACTGACATTTGAACGGAGAAATGTGGACATGTGGAATTTGCTGTTGTGGGGCGTCTAACATACGGAATCACATTAGGAGACAATTATTGCAAATACTCGGGTCGTCTATCTCCTTGGACGAGGTGGATTGGTCATCAATTCTTACATACATGTGAAGTGGTTGACATCGTCTCCCTGTAAAGAATGCATACTACTTCTGTCCACTTCATGCGAAGGGAACCTACTTTCGAAGCCTAAGAATGTAAACTTTTCTTGAATTCCCACAACTCCACAAATACTTCAAGTTCCTGAAGGCTTCGCCATATTAAAAATAAGCTACCCCGATTCCCACCTTATTCAGGCCTCATCGCATCCGAGAGAGAGAGAGAAGTGATCAAGGCGGGATTGACGGCATCAAGGAGATATTATCCGATAAATATAACGGCTCGAGTTGAATTTGACATTTTATGCATGCAACCAACACTCAACCAACCAACTTTTAAAATTGGAATTCGGGTTTTGGGGGTGCGAAAACTTCTGTTAAAGATGAAATTCAAAGCCGTCTTTGAAAGGGAGTTGTATACGGTGCGCTATCTTCCAGATATGCACCTTATAATATACTTCATCCTCCACCAGCGTCTCATCCTCATCGTCAGAGCATGTTATTCGTTAGAGACAGTCAAATGGGAACCAGTGGAACGGTAAAGTTTGGATGTATGATAGTTTCTTATTCTACATACACCATGCATGCTGATAAAAAAGTATTCGTTTTGGGTTGCTTGGTGGGTTGAGCCGCCTTTCGATACGGAGTATTGACCGAATTGAAAAGTTTCCGAGTTGGAATTTTCTCATCTCTCACTCTGTCAATCATAGGCAGCTCCTTTCCTCGTGTGTGTATGGGCACATGTAAAACTGATGGAACTGACGAGACGGACGGAAGAAAGGCGACACACGAAAGGGACGACTTTGGACAATGAGGCACATTCATACAGTGTGAATTCCTTCCAACAGTACTCGTGGCTAATAAGGGTCAACAAACTCCGTTTTTTGAACTATTTTAAATGCATACTTTTTGTGTATTGTATACAAAATCTAAACGGGATTACTAGCATCAACTGTGGTTACACGGTGCAAGTAGTGGTTAAAATTAATTGTGAAATTAATAATTTTAAAGGTTTAGGCTTCCTTGTCAAAGAATAGCGTAGACATAATTAGAATTTTACAACACGCTATATGCATACATATATTTAGTTATGCACAATATGTACATTTATGCAGTTATGCCGTGAAACCCACCTACAACATATAAAGAATAGAGTACCGTAAATATCCACCTTCTTCCGAGTGAAAGTACTGCATGATGTACATATGCAGGTGACTTTATTGAACATCATCCATTGTCAATAGAAATAGTGTGATTTTTGAATATGTCCATTTTTGGAATCTGTTTTATCCTAAAAGGGTTAAACACACTCAAAAACATGGTTTCAAAAGTCCTTAAAAAGGCACCTGGTCTGCACCGCACGGTTTATAATCCTCGAGACTACAGACAGTGCAGGCAGGCAGCAGTCAAGAATTTTAATTATCTACTCAAAATTAGCTACATCGTTTGACTACTTTTAAAGTTTGTCTAAACTAAAAACCTCAAATCTAAATCTAAAATGATTTGCAAGTATTTCAATCCCGTTCTCCTGATTATTGCGGTTACCATTTCCCAAGTATTTTGCGACACCCGAGAATTATACCAACCCCAGCCTCCCCAGAACTTGCGTGAAATCCCGACGGGCTCAGCCATTGACAACTATTATGAACCACGACCATCGAATACGGGTGCCCTTGCCACTCCCAGAACTTTCTTGTGGTACCCTTTCGAGTTCCTGACTTTGGAATCCTTGATTCCACCTGCATTCACTTTCCTTGGGGTCATCGTCGGACTTTGCGGGTTTTTCCAGCTTAGCAACTGGTTCCTGGAACTCGTTTCGCAAATCAATCAAAGTAAGAAGACAGAAACTGAAGGGAAAAAAACACTGGAAGTTGAAGAAACTAATGAGATTGAGGCGAGACGGAAACGGATGCTGGCGGCCGAGGTCAGTTATGAACTATTAATAATGTTTATAAGCATCCTTATTTATCAATTGTCTGGTTTATGAATTAGTTTCAAGTCTAACCAATGTGAAATGTTTTTTATATATATTCAGGAGACTGGACGAATCCTACGAACCATTGAGGAGGCAGAGAAAAAATTTAACGACTAATCTTGGACAGCTAAAATATTCTGATATGTTTATGCAGCGAAGTTATAACATGTATGTATATACAACGATTTTTCTCATTGGTGGTATGTATGAAACTCAGGTGCTATTTGACAAATACATAATAAATTCATGTGGTTTTAAGTTTCACAAAAGGTTTCTTGGACCCTTTTTTATTTTTGGAATTATTTAAAAGGTTAGAAGGAAATTATTAAAATAGACAAGGAATTTCAACAAACTGAAAAGTTTAAGCATCAATAAACAAGCTCAGGCCTTTTCCTCTTTTCATTACATCTAACCCGTTCCTCGCTCCACGACATTGTCTCAAAGATATTTTCACCAACTCTTGCTAAAAATCTCAACATGGGAGAAATTAGACGGCCAACATTTATTGTTGCAATTATTCTGTCAATTTGCGAATCTCACTCTGCCCTTGCGTCCAATGTTGTGAGCCTTCTGGTCGGAGAAAACAGATTTTTGTTGGAAAATTGGTACACGATAGATGTTGGGGACATAATTGCCATTTTCACAGGGGTCACGGTCGGGTTAATTGTTCTCTTTGTTATGCTAACTGTAATCACGATGGATCATAAGACAAGGAGAACTGCAGCTGAATTAAAATCACCTCAAAAAGGATTGCCGGTAAATATAGTTGAAGTTTGTGTTTATAAATTTAAGCTGATATTAATATTGGACCTCCACCATTTGATTGCAACCTGTATAAACTGGTTTAACATAGTTTTGCAACTTTTAATTATAGATGCAACTGCAGGCTCGTGTGCTAAGGGCCATTGAAGACATGGATCAGATGCACAAGGCTAATTAAATTCAATTTGGGCACATAAATTACGCCCTAAACACGAATCAACGTCTCAACAAGGCGAGAATTCTGGTCGACTTTTATAGCGTTTTATGCTTTCGTCCAATTGTACAATTAATAAAGTAATGGAAAAAGTAAATCTGTGCCAAGCTGGAAGTTGTATTATGGCATATGCATTAACGAGCTCACTCACTCTCAAGTTGCAACTACTTGGTACGCTGGATTGGTGGTCAGCCAAAGTTGTTAGAGCTGCGGAATTGGGAGCAATTTCCTGTAGCCATCGTAGCCATCAACGAGAAGAGTGAAGTCTTAAAAGCCTCATTTCCACAACTCAAAAAACGATTATTCAGAAGAAGACAATAAAATTTATTTACTGTCTTTTCACACTCTTGCCTGTCCTGGTAAAACAAAACCACTTTATTGCGCTCAATTTGTAAATGTTTGTTTATTTTCCATTCTTATACACATGCCATCATGTTTTGTGCCAATATTACACGCACAAAATTGCATCATCCATCTTTCGCATCGTATGAAATGTATGTGTCGAAAGAATGCCTACGACATAAATAAGAAAACTTGGAAAAGTGTCGTCTTCATCAAGTGCACAAAGCCAGAAATGTAGAGCACATAGGAATGTACAAAAGAAATCTGCTGGTTCTCAGGGAATGGTTGACTTTTCAGTGTGGTGGGTGGTGCTAAGTACATACGTCTCGGCGTCCACCTTTCTTCTTTCCTTTCTTTTCTTGTCATCTCACAATAACTGAAAGAGTGGATTGTGGTAATTCTTCGCTTTCTGAGCATTAGTGGTCTTATAATATCAGTTCTCGGGGTATTGTTATCATCATGAGCTTGTAGTTTTGCCTGTTTGTGATGGAAAAGCTCGCAATCACTTTTTCACTTTGGTTCTTGAGATTGATATGAAAGAAAAATCAAAGATAAAGATGGCAGAAGAAAAGGGGGCCGAGGTTGACAAGGAAGATGTGTATCTGTCGGTCTCCCCTGATGATGGTTGATGGTGGGCAACTAACTACAAAAATATGTTGTGATATACCGAGGACAAGGAATCTCATCGAATTGGAAAATCATTCAGCAGGACAGAAACAGGATTGCATTATACAAGTAATTTATTTATTAGTATAATTCATGTTTGAAAGATTTGGAGAAATTAAAATTATTACCAATTTTCTCAGACTCGTGGTGGCTAGACTTGCAGTCTATTTATTGTGACCAAAGTCGACTGTGAAAGTTGGAACGCTGGAGAAAATTCGTAAACATATCGGACTGCTTTCACTTTCCTCGAAAAAAAGAGCAGATTGAGCAGAATAGAGTCAGTCAGCGTATGATTATCCAGCCGAAGGAAGCAAGGAAAGTTTAGGTGGAACTGGCGTCAAGTCAAAGAAGGCAAAAATTCCTCCTCCTTCTCGTCCCCTCAAGAACTTTGTGAATTACTTGGTTTGTGCCACTAAATATGTACAAACTTGAGTGGGGTAAAAAAAACCATGGAATATGGAAGTCACCGTCACAACCCCCAAGACACAATAAGCTGTTCCAGGAAAAGTTTCTTAATAAATTTTACACACATGGGCTAAACTGTCCTATATTGTGACTCGCAGTTATTGATTAAGTAGATTACGGCTGCACAGAGGCCGACTGCCTGAGGGATGCAGGGAAACAGGCTAAATGAACTGCTCTCTCCGTTAAGGAAACATGCTGCAGGTTATCTTCGCAGTATATCTAATGACTACCAACCCTTTACTCTGGAGGACAATTCTGTAGCGATATCAGGGAGCAATTTGATAATGAAAAACTACACATATCAATGTTACAATTGCTGTGATTGTATATTTTCAACGTTGTGAGTACTCAATACCATCTTTAAACTCCATATTTTGAGCTGTAGGAGACATTTTGACTTAAAATTAATAGTGAATAGAGTTGGATGTGTCATTTAATGAGCAATGAAATTGGTGTTTCATTATGGCCAAGTCAAAGGATATGAGTCATAAATAATCCAGAATTCAGACCAAAATCAGTGCACAACTGATAGAAAAGCTATTTCATACCTCTTCAATATTTGTCGTGTATGTATGTGGGATAGTATTTCGAGAGTTAAGAACGACGAGGGGGAGTTTTTCAACAAAGCAGAGTCTCAGCCAACTATGATCACGTACTTGTTCAATGAACAGATCCTCTCCCGATTCCCATATTGTGGATTACTTCACACTATGCACATTATTCTCGTCTCTAGTGTTGAGTCATCCACAAGAATGGATCATCATCAACCTTCCCTTCACACATCAATCTTAAATGTCTCATCCTAAAGTCCACCCACCGAAAGTTGCAGCCAAGTCACAAATTAGTGGAACGGTCAAACGAAAAATTCTCTCATCGATCGCATGCAGTGGAACGCAACAAAACCATAAATTTCAAGACCAAGGTTTCACTCTGAGGAGCAAGGTTCATAATTTGAGCTTTATCAGTGACCATGAGTTGTAGTGAGGGGGAAATGACAAGAGACAAGGGCGACTATTGATTAAGCCATCTCCTTACCCCACACAAAGCCATCAATGTGTGTAACTACATCCATACATGGTACACATATTATATTAAACCACATGTATCCGTTGTCAGCCTTTCAGTTGAGGGGAAGGACTCACCCAGTGCAGCCAACTCTCAGAGTGAGACGATGACACTTGACCCACAATTATTACTCTCGTTCCTTTAATCAAGAGCGAGTATCAACGACGTTGTTGATTGATTGATCTTCTGTTTCATTGCTTTGCATCGTAAATTTCAAGTCTGAATGAAATCATAATTTCTCTATCTCCAAACAAATTCATTTTGATAGATTGAGGAGGATGATGCGTATTCTAAACGTCATTAACCTTCAACTGATAAACGTACGTATCTAAAACTTGACATTGTAATCGTCCACAAATCACCCTTTCATCCGTAGCCAGGAAAAAGTGAAAACAATTTAAATGTTTAAGCAGCATTTGTCCACCCAATGAACACGACTTTGCATTTGTGTGTAGTCGTCCGGGACTAGGCTGAGTGAAGAGTAGATTGCTTCAAAATTCATGGAAATTTGGAACCTAGTCATATTTCTAGAAAGGAATTTTGATGGCGATATGGAGTAAACGGTAAATGTTGAAAAGTCATTTGATTTTTATTTTAAGACGAGTTGAAAACTGGGAAAGTTTTTTTCTTTCCACAACCTCAACTCTCTCAATAGCCAGGAGGCATTATTATACGAAATTATTCATGGATGAAAAGGGGAACGAGTTTTGTATGGGATTTTTGATGTTCTTTTTTATTCTTGCTGTTCCATCCCAATCCAGCCCAACTAACAACTCTGCCTTCATTTACACAACGAACCAACCCTGGTAAGGATTGACGAGGACATGTTCTTCATAGGCACACACATACATACGCACGCATATTACTTATTACAATACACCGCTGTACATACAACAGCTTTCCCCAGTTTCATATAGCACAGCTTTTGCTTTTCGCTTAATATTTTTATCCTCTTCCTCCCTTCATCATCCTTTTAAGCAAGCAAGGACAAATTCTAAGGAAAAAATTCCCATCATATCATAAAAACTTTTTTCTCCTCCCTCCTAACGACTTTAACCCACTTCATTTAAATAAATGACTTTTTTTCAATTTCGACCTTTCTAAATAAATGCACTTTTTTTATCAACATCTCAAGAACGATCATGTCGTTTACTGTATTATGCAGACATAAAGGTCGGTATAAAGTCTGACTACCCGCTTTCTTTGCACCATTCAAAGGCGAACAACAAGTGAAAGTTCTTGTCAAACACTTGTCAAACGATAAGTGTCAAAATCAGGAAGGAAGGAAGGAAATAATTATTGAAGCAGTTGAGCCATTTTTCGGTGATTAAGCCCACACCATCATACAACTGACTGGCTGAGCTAACTCTACAGAACACGCAATCAAGCCAGAGCCGTCATCGTGGTGGGCCAACGTGACCATGAAATGAGTTCAGTCACAGAGTTGGCGTGTTATATAAGTAGGTGGCTTAAATGTAGATTGGAAAGGAAATGCAGCCAGTCGACCACTTTGCCGTCTCCATCCGACTACCCTCAAAGGCTTTTAGTTCCACTAAAAATGCAGATTCGCATGTACATAAGTGGGTGCCGACATGGGAGAGAATAATCGAGGAATGTGGAGCATGACTTTGGGTGTGAAAGTGGTGGGTGGCTGGTGTGTGGCGGTCTATTCTACAACAAGGAAGGAAGTGGAATTGCATTTTCATTTCGTTTCATTTCATGAGCGTCGCATTTTCCTTGCCCTCCACCATTGCACTCTGCCCTGGTTTAACCCGAGGAGAACTGTGTGTAGGGTCCAAGCCGACGCTGCTGCGAAGGGCAGACAGGGGTAAGTTCAACCAAGACCCGTATAATATACATACATATAGGAAATAACCCTCGCTTTAATTTGAGGTAGATTCGACTCAGCCATGGAACGCGAGGGCACAAAGGCATTTCTCAAACCCGTATTATGCAATGCAATCTCGCTTACATGCCCCCACTCACGAGAACCGGAGAACAACTCTTCCACACACTTTGAGAGGTTTTTCAGGCTATCAACCCTAAGAATAATGGGATGACGAGGGCTTTTAACTTTCCTCTCATGACTCTTTATCTTCCGTTTTCTTGATTATAATATTAATCTCCACTTCCCAGTTTTACTCGATTTTTGTCATATGTCCAGCTCTCTGTACAAAACTTTAATTCTATAAAAAGGTACATATGTAATTATACGATGACATTGTTAGGATACTGTGTCAGTTTTTGGCAAATTGCGTGCTACATATACATAATTATTAATTGTGTACTGGGTGTATTTCACAAGAGGGGTGGTTGGTTGGAGGAGTCACCCTTTCAAATGGGGCTATTATATATTACAATGCGGAATTAAGTTATTATGTCATATCCTCCTTCCTTATTACTTTCCATTGGCCATTTGCACTAAATTGGATATGCAACTTAATGATCACACGCCCATTCACATGTTGGTGCATGAATTTATGTGAGTTTATTACTGCCTCCCCGCTCATAGTTGCAATGGGCTATAGAGCAAAATTACATTTTCTACAGTTAATTATGCTGGGACAGAGTTACAGGTCTGTGAAAGCAGTTAATATACACTGGTGAACACAAAAGGG